CTAACTCATAAGAACAAGATAATTCAAATCAAACAATTTTCATGTATTTAGCCTAACCACTAAACTAATACAAAACATGAATCTATTGACAATTATCTTTTGAATTAGATTAGCATGAACATTACCACATAAAAACAGGTTTATAAGTTCAAAACAGCTTAGAGTAATGTTCGTAGTCCAATTCCAGCCAAAAAACTCGAAGTTATGCTATCAGGGGGTCCAACTCGTCGAGTGCATGAACCAACTCGACGAGTTGGATGAATTTACACATGGACTCGTCGAGTCCCTTAATGGAATCGGCGAGTCAGTTGTCCAGACAACACAAAATTCGATTTTTAAGCCTTTTTTCAGCAATTTGTATCAAGTATAATTGAAAACAACCCATGAATCTGATACCACTGTTGGGTTTTAGTATAATACAACATCCTATGGTGCACATACAACCCTAAATACCTTGGATCTATGTTTTCACTAATTATACATGCAAAGGTGTTTCCAAGGTATTAAGCCTATAACTAGCATGCAAAGATGTAAACTACACAAGATACTAGTTAGTGTAACATACCTTTTATGTGGCTGAAAGCCTTGATGTATTTGGCCTTAAGAGCTTAGCCCCAATATTATGGAAGCCTCAAATGAAGTCACAACACATCAAGGACAAAGGAAGAACTTGAGAGAGAATCTTCATGCACCCAAAACACCTCCATGAACTCCAAGAACATGCACACACACATAAGGGTGGCCGTTTTAGGTCAAGATGCTTGTATTTATATGTGTGGTACTTCAAGGGTCATGGGTATAACCCAAATCCATACCCATGTGTTTTATGATCCATGGTTCATGTGGCCCAACTCTTTATGTATCCATACATAAACTTGGTCCAAAATGGATCATAAGCCCAACACATATAAATATCACTAATTACCATAATTAGTCCCCATAGATTTAATTAATCTCTTTTGATCACTAAATTAATTCCAAATTAATTCTTGATCAATATTAAACATATGATTTCATATTAATATATTATAGCTTATAATATATTAATAAATCATATACAACCTCTTCTCTCAAAAGTCCATCCTAACAAATTGTCCTGATGATATGCAACCCAAATGGATCATGCTACTCGCGGGTCGAGTTCATACCAATAATAGTTATGGGCTTAGACATCTAATCCAACACATATAACCACTATAACTTAGTTCACTTAAAACGTGTATCTATAAGATTCTCTAATTCTCCAAGTACATACCAAGTTAAAAAGTATGAAAAACAACAACCACTAAAGACCCCAAAGATTACATTATAACACTAGTTTACCGTAATTTTCCTAACTAAACCATATGCCTGAATGAATATTTAGCCCTGAAAAAGCCAAAAAAATAAAAATACAAAAGAAGAAAGAAAACACACACATACACACGTAAAGAAATCACTCACTAAACCCATAATCATAGATTTGGATCATACATAAAGCTCTGATACATAATCTATTTTTATTTTGACAGTAATATTGTTGGTATTTTACCTTTTAATTGTATCTATCATTTTATCTAAAAAGTTAATTTAAGGAAAAACCAATGATCGTTGGCATAGGCAACTACATAAGTACTTATTACATATATAAACAAATAAAGACAATCACAAAATATTTAAGAATTCAAAAATTTCAAAGATGTTTTTTCTTTGAGACATTGGGTCAAAAACCTTGTAAACGTTATTTTATTAAGCTTCACATTGATGACTTTATCTAAATTCTTCATCCAAAAATCTTTTCAAAACTAAAAAACTAAAAAAAGAATTGATCTTAGTATTAAATCTCATAGATATTGGAGCTTAATTCGACAAAAAGATGAAACCAGGGTTTCAAGAATCACAAATCGTAACTATATTTAGGTTTTATCATAACAAATCAAAGAAAAATTGAACAATAAACATCAACAAATAGCTCTGATCGAACCAAAATGATGCTAACAATAGTAGAAATTAGAAACAAAAGTTTACATGCTTCCATAACTTGAAATTGAACCAAAACGAAGCTTAAACACAAGGAATTGAAAACCATTACGAGACCAAATGAAGGTTTACATGAAGGATTCGCAGTTTACCATGATAATTGTACAAGAACTTAGATAAAAAAGAAGAAAACATCAGCTTCAATGTTTGTCCAATGCACTAGAAAGTAAGTTTCACCAGTATGCCCATAAAACTTTTACATTAAGAGGAAAACCACATAAAGTGAGGTTATTTACAAAAATGCCAACGTGTTCACAACTAATTTTTTTAAAAAATTAGAAAAAAAAGCACAACCACTCATTTCATTAGAGTCCTCACCAAAAATAGATTAAACCTCAACTAACTCTCTCTCTCTCTCTCTCTCTCTCTCTCTTTCTATATATATATATATATATATATATATATATATATATATATATATATATATATATATATTGGTTTTTCTTCTAGATTAAACCTCAACTTTATTTTTTTTCTAGAAAAAGCTCTTACATATTTTTTCCCGATTTAGTCCTTATAATTTTGCTTTTTTGATTTACCCTTACATTTTCATTTTTTTTCCCGATTTAGGCCCTAATTTTTTCATTTTTTTTAATTAAATTTCAACTTTATATTTTTTTCTAAAAAATTCTTACATCTTTGTTATTTTAAAAAGTTTTCTTGCATTCGGTTCCGTAACTTCATGACATATGCTCCCATCTTAATGTTGGTTTGGAGTAAATCTAGAGAGATTGTGTTGTAACCTTATTGCTTGATGGTTGCATATATTTCTCTTCCACGTGGCATCATCGATGTGGAGAAGAATGTTGTAGGCACATGTAATCATCTAAGAAAGTTCAACCCAAGATGCATAATAATCGTCATTATGATCATGGGTTATTCTCATTAGGAGTCATAGGGTTCGATAATGGAAGAAGAACAACCCCTCCCCTCTTCTTCTTCTTCTCACCAACGGATGCTATCCCTTTTCTCTTTTTGTCTTTCTCATCTTTCATCATAGAACTCTATGACTCCCTAATGAGAATGAGAAAAGTCAACGATAACAACTTTTACCCTTCCTTCGCCACAAGCAACATAAAAAAATTAATTTAGATACCTCTTGATTACACTAATGATCATTGCACATCTTGAAGTTTTCTGTATCATTAGATTTACTCAAAACTAGCATGATTCTATGAGCATGTGCTATGGAATTATGGAATCGGATACAAGAAATATTCTAAGATAACATATATGTAAGGGTTTCTTTAGAAAAAAAAAATATAATTGAGATTTAATCCGGAAAAAAATGTAAAGGCTAAATCGACAAAAAAAATGAAAATGTAAGGGATCTTACATATGATTGTTTTTCGTTTTGCAAAATTGTGATCATAAGATCGAATCGGATCGTAAGATTTTAACCAAAAGTATTTTAACTCATAAATGTTAACCATTCGGTTAACGATAAATTGTTTAAAACTTAAAAAATACATATCCAATACAGAATTTAGTGATAAACAATTCAAAATTGGTATTCTACATAATTAGTCAATTAAAAAATATTATAATTTCGTTTTAAAAATATAGTAACGATCCTACGATCTTACGATAAATTCTAAGATCTTTTGATCCGATCCTACCACGATCTTACCGAAAAACGATCACAGTAAGATCATAATCGTTTTACCTAGTTAGGATCGTAGGATGCTACGAAACTACAATCAAATCGCGATTTTAACAACCTTGTTTCCACCACCTCCTTTTTTATTTATTTTTCGACAACTGCTTCTCACACCTCCACCTTTGGTTTTGTTACAAATTTTGCACCTAATTTATGATTTTTTTTCATGGTCTTCCCCACTCCAACTTTAGTTTTTTACAGATTTGATCTAGATTAAAATATTTTTTATATTTTTCCCCAACTTTCACTTATTATAATATTTACGTGACCTTCATTTTTACGTACAATTTCCTCAGTTTCTTTACAAACTTTTTTTTTTCTTTTTTTCTTTTTTTTAAGTTTGTTTTTTTTTTAAAAAAAAAAAAAAAATTCTTTTTACAGCTTCTTTTAAAGTATTTTTACTTTTATTTTTATATGGGTTTTTAATATTTTTTGTTTTTACAAACTGACAGTCTATTTCCCTTCGAAAATTTTACATGACAAAATTTCCGCTACGATACTGTAAGGGGTCAACGATTAGGAGGCAACGATTGGGGGTGTCGATTGAAGATCAGTAGAAGCGAGTGGGGTGTCGATTGAAGATCAGTAGCGATTGAAGATGAGTAGAAGCGAGTGGAGGTGTGTCGATTGAAGATCAATAGAATGTAGAAGATAATGGAAGATGTCGATGAAAAAATAAGAGGAAAAGAAGAGCACGTCTGATCTTACGTCAATCTTACCTCATTAAGGGTATTATAGGTATATCAACTAAAATTAAATGGAAATAGAGAAGGATGACATGTGTCATGATTCTAATGGGTAGGCATATTAGTAGGAAGAAATAGTAGGAGGTAATTTAATTTCTCAACCTAAAAATATCCATCTCCAAAATTAGATAAATAATAAGAAACAAACTGATCATATCCAAAACAAAAAACAAACATATTAGAAACAAATCAGATAAAACCCGATCCACCAAACAAACAAACAAAATAGCCCATAAAAACTTATCTTCAAACAAAACTGACAAAGATCTTAGGATTCATATATATATCAGAAAAAAAAAAAGCAGCAATAAACCCAAATTAGTGGTGACAACGTCAGTACAACGGTGGTGCAACCATGTCCGTGTATAGAATGTGAAGACGAGAGGTAGCATTACCATGTTTGTTTCTTTGTGTGTGTATATTAAAATTGAAATTAAATCGATCACAATTGGTTTGATACAATAATAAAATACGAACATAGTTCACTTATAGGAATATATGATCATAAGTCGTTTGATTTAATTGCAAATATTCTGTCACATAAACTTAACTAAGAATGCCATGTAACTAACTAATCAATACGCGGCCAACTGAGCAAAATTAATTGGGGTCACAAATTGCGGTCCACCGTTGTATAAAGTCGTAGCTGCAAGCTCGGAAGCATATTGCGTCGGATGGTACAAGTCCCAAAATAGGTACGTGTCTCGATCTGAACATAATTTTGCTTGCGGTGTACAAGTCTTTTCTGCATTCAACAACCCTTCTCCACAACATGCCGTGTCAACTGATTTGAAATCTACAAAAAAATAAATAAATAAATAGATTTTAACTTGCTAAAATCAACATTCGTTGAATGTATTTGTTTTTTTGTCATGGAAAGTTTCCATGGTGTTTTTAGACCAAAGAGTGTGGCAACTCGCAATGGGTTTATGTTTGTACTTACTAAAGAGTTTTGGATGATTGATAACATTGATTGTCATTTCGTATGAATTGCCTAGTGCATACTTCAATCCTGACAACTTGGAGGTGAGTTTCTTTAAGAGGGCATCAAGCGATGAATGAAAAGCTCGAGCAAAAGTATTTTCAATCTCCAAACATCCACCAGTGGAATTGTAAATTCTCTGTGATGGGCAACATCCGATTGGTGGTACACTTATAATCCCGAATTTCCTTGCTCCGAGCTCATACAATGCCTTGTATTTAATCATTTTTTGTTTGAATTAGTGATGCAAAATCCGTCGCCAAATACATTTATGTGTTTTGTTATGATGTTATGGTTAGAATGCTTTGTAAATACTTACATTTATGTGACACTCGTATGCTGCCATTAAAGAACCAATGAAAACAAGAGGATCAACCGTGCTTCGTTTTTCAAAATAGCCGAAAATGTCGTTGCTACCGACACTGATGGCGATCATGGATTTGGCTAGCATGTTCTTTGCCGCATCTTGACCCTTTACTAGTGTCAGATTGCTACAAACAGTCTCAAATTGTTTGATTTGGTCGGACATAGATACAATGTTCTGCTCACATTTTGATCGTATACATTAGAGAAAGACAAAAAAAATATGCAGTAGACATGCGGTCGTGTGACTGCACACGACCGCATCACCTGTATAACCATTCAGTACATGAATAGTTATACATTATGAAAATTACTAACAGACCTACCAATTCTTTTCCTGTGACATCTAGAAGACCGGATGCTCCAGAGGCGAAATTTATGCCACTGAACATTCGGTTCGTAAGTCCCGCTTTTTGAAGAAACAAGTATGGTTGTGGGCTTCTTTGGCGCCCCATTAGCTTAGCTGAAATCAACCCCAATGCAAACAAAACAAAATAAGGCGATGTGTTTGATAGTTGCTAAAGAATATTTTCCAAGTATCATTTGAAATATGAGTATATCCATATATTGAATGTTTTAAAAGAACATGTTAGAGAATATAGAATATTGTTGGTAAAAATACTAACATAGAAAATCGGCGCTATTGAAACCGTTGCTAAAGCGTCCCGTAGGTCTTGAATTGAGAAAATCAATCCCATTGTGAGGAAAATCGGCCCGTATTTTGGTCATGGGCAAGAAAGAGTTTGTTCCCACATCAGCCGTTGAGTCACCAAATATGAAAATTGCATTGGAAGTCTCTGTGGCATCTGAAACTTGAAAAATGGTGACAAAAGTTCCCACGAAAAGGAATAAAAAAATTGCTGACGTTTTCTCCATCAGATTGAGATTAGTAGTCATGAGAATGATAAGAGGAACTTATGCGTCATTTATAAACATCGATTAAATATAAGACAAAGGTATGATCGATGACTTGGTCATGCGAGTTGTAACAATCTATGAAATTTGACAACGTACGTGAAATAAGACAATTACAAAATATTACTACTAGAATCAAATTTACTAAAATACCCTTAGTTTCAACATTATAGTTCTATTACAAAAAGAAATATCCGGCTAAACCAAAGAGAATGAACATTATTTCGATGTTATATATCCTTTTTGATGAAGGGAAATTGCCGGCTAAAATAACGAAAACGAAAAAGGTAAAACTGACATATAAGTTTGATATTTATGTATCATGTTTGCCGTCTTGTTAATAAATAAATATAATGCAAGATATTTTTTTTTATAAAAACCATTTTTGTAATGTAATACTTTAGAGCATCCACAATGAGGAATTTAATGAAAGAGTTGAATGAGGTGGAATGTTTATTTGTCATTCAATGGATACAATTCCACCATTGCGAAATGCCACCTTGACATTCAATGAAATTGGAGTTCAATGACCATTGAACTTTTCAATGGGAAAAAGGAAAGTCTTTAAATCTTTAAATAAATATTTTTTTAATATGTTCCATTGAACTTATAGAGTTTAATGCATTGTGGGATAAAAATGAATAGAATTGTATGGAATAGTGAATGATGATGTGGCAATCCATTGAACTCTATAGAGTTCAATTCATTGTGGATGCCCTTAAAAGGCAAATAACCAATAAATCAATGTAGTACGACCAAAATCTGGTTTAAGCATCACATTTTATTTTGTTTTTTTATATAAAAACCATCATGTTTGTAAAAAAAATTCCAACATGACCACCGTGACATTCTGTTGTAAGTTCAAGCCACCAGATATTTACATATTTTTATGATGAAGCCACAATAACAATTTTTTTATTTTATATTTTATTTTTCTAATGAATATATTTTTCTGTTAGAAAAAATATAATTAGAAAAGATTGTTAAAGGTTGTATGTTGTTTACCAATTGGTTAAAGCATATCAGAAGGCCTTTTGCCTAATGATAAGGAAGACTTTGCAATAGAGAAGTTATGAGTTCAAGTTTCATTTGAGAAATAGGTGATAATGATGAGTAAATTAATTTTTCGTTTCAATAATGTCACACCCCCGAACCAGACGGCGGAAACGTCCAAGGGCTCGTGTAACTTAAATTGAAATATCATCACAATGCATATACATGAAACATAACACCATCATCACCAACATTACATAGTACAACCATCATTGTTTACATCAAGTACATTGTTTTACATTACAACTTCACAGAACATAAATTGTTTAACGATTGACATTGCACAAAAGAAATTTCAGAAACACGCTTGATGATTCTTCATTCTAACGGTTACCTGAGAACACAAGTTATTTTGAAAACGGTCAACATATATAATGTTGGTAAGTTCATAAGCATGTTTGATATAAAAATAGTTTGTATTGTTTGTAAAACCCAGAAAATCCGATATTTTCTGTAACGAAAACTGTTTACAAAAAAAAAAGGTGATGATCCCATAAGTGTATATGTATGTGATTTCAAAACATGTAACAATTAATGTCTTTCATAATTGTTCCTTATATTGTAGTTGTTGTATGTAAAAGTGAATAATGTCGTTCCCTGGAAAACCCGATGTTTTCCAATTTAAATAGTATGACAGTTTTGTATTATTGTATAAATCACTTTGCATCGACACAGTGTATGAATATGATTTCCCATGAATACTTAGATGGTAATGGATCTCTATGTGAGTCGTTATAACCATGCATAATAGTGACTAATTCGCCTGTCTTGACATTTTTTTCCAAACGCCGGTTTTGATCAAGATTTTTTCACCCTAGACTGGCCGAGTCTAACTGTAGCGAACAGCTCAGGTGTGGGGGAGTCACCCTCGTATAGATCTATACACAAACTCTCGCCTTCCCTCCAGGAGACTCTGGTTATAACTACAGGCTACGACCGACACTTATTGGTGCCAACCGATAATTCTCACTAAATCCCTATTATTACCCCATGAATTTGAATAACATTGATTACAACCCATTTGATGTTTACATGAATATGAATAAAGCCTAACAACCACGAAAAATGACAACTGTGACCCACTAATCATGTATGTTATTACAGACTGTCGAGTATGCGACGGACACGTTAGCCCATCAAGCATATGATAATTGATTTGGACCATAGTAGCGATGCAAATGGGCCACGAAGGCCCAATAGCATGTAAAAGCTAATGGGGGTCCATTCGGCATGTAATTGGGTCACCGGATGCCCAATAAACATGTGTTGATTATATTGGGCCCAATAATCGTGTAACTGGGTCACCGAAAGCCCAATAAGCGCGAATAGGAAACATTGGGCCCAACCGTCGTATCATTTATAGGTTTATCGATATAAGTTGTGGTATGGGATTTGGTTTACACTTAGTGTTTACTTTCGATGTTAAATACTCAATGTTGGTTTATAACGATATTCTTAGTTTTTATAAAAATACCATTTTTAAACCTTCATGTTGTAAAAATTTATATCTTTGGTCAAATTGTTTAGAAATTTACATATTTGGCCCAAAATGTTTATTTGACCATTTGAGTCCCTTTTTCATACAAAGTTAACCTTTTCAGCCCTTAATGGTGCAAAATGACACTTTTAGTCCTTTTTGATGAAAAATGACATTTTAGTCCATTTGATTACTTAACTTGGCATTTTCGGCCCAAATAAAATCTTAAATTATAATTTCTGCCCAAAATACAACTTTTGACATTTTCAGCCCTTATTTGTTAAAAATTTACATTTTTGGCCCATTTGCCGTAAGTTTTACACTTTTGGCCCAAAATCTGAAAACTTTGCATTTTTAGTCCAATTTAGCAAAAAGAGTCATTTTCATCCCCTGAAATAGTTTAATTATGTTTTATACTCATACTTTTATGAATTTATAATTTCAGTCCCTAAAATTCTTCATTTTCGCAATTTTAGGCCCAAAAATCCGTGAGGCCCAAATATAAGCCCATTAAGCAAAATTCTATATCTTTCGCCCTTTGAAAAGTATTATTTTCATAAAAATCAGCTTTTATATAAATAAATACTTTATAACCCTCATAAACCGAAAATTATCATCTTTCAACCAAATCTTTGTTATTTTTGCAAAAATGACACTTGTAAAGATCTTTGGCTTTGTTTTTCACTTCTTAAACTTAAGGACTCTTATATCTATGATGTATGTTGTTTATTATGTTTTTGTTTATGAATCTTTCACATTTTAGCTATAGATCTCGAAATATAATAAGTATTAACACATTATCACAACATAAACAAAAGAAATCACATATAACATGCAAACACACATAGATCAACACATAACACTTGTATTTTCCCCCCAAAAACAAGTAAAAACCGAAAACAAGGGTGTATGAACTCACCTTGGGTTTGAAGTTTCGGTTTTTGGTGATGATGTGAGGAGATTCGGCCTTAACAAGCTTCTTGAGGGAAATTTCGAACTTAGATGAGTTCTAAGAAGCATGATTCATGATTTAAAGAGTAAATGAGTGCTAGTTTTAACAAAACATGATATTAGACTTTTTGGTTAGAAGTATCTTACCAAAGAGATGGATTTTTGATGAAGTCTTCTTGGAACACAAACAACCCACGTGATTTTGAGGATAAGAGAGAGTTTTCAAGATGATTTTGAGAGTGTTTGTAAAAATATGAAGGTGGTGGTGTGGGTTTGAGATTTTCGGTCTTAGTTAAAGGAGAAGGAAGAGAGAATATCAAAGGGGTTAATGCATGATGGTTAAGGATGATTTTGCTTTGATACATGTGAGTTCCTTTGCCTAGAATACCACTAAGCAAAGGTGAGGTGTCAAGATCTCACATTATCTTGTTTTAAATTTCTCTCTTTTTTTTATATATAATAGTTAGGTCGAGAAAGGCTAAGAAGAGAAGAAAGGATGGGTAGCTTGGGCCTTACTTGCTTGGTCATGATCCCATGTGGGCCCAATTAATTAGCTCTCGGCCCATTAGGCTCCTTTAGATATTCACGGCCCATTAGAACCAAATAAATGGAGTTTATGGCCCATTAGGGCTATTGGAGTTATTATGGCCCAACATGGCCCATTAGGGATAACATGAGCCATTTTAAGTCCACATGGCCCAATACGCTAAGTTTTATGAATATGGGTCCATTTAGAGCCCATTTAAGGGTTTTAAGCCCAAAGTAGTCAAATTGGAGGCTTATGGGGTCCATTAGCCCAATAAGAAAATCCTAGTCCATAATGGACTTAAACCGGGATTTTTAGGGTATCCAATCTATAGTTGACCATTCAAAGTGTTTGTATTGAACTTTTATCTTTCATTTGGATTTTTAAATGGAAGTTTGTTGTCATTGAACACTCATAAATCATGTTTTCAAGTCATGGTTAAAGTTGTTGTCATTGTTAATGTTTACTTAAGGATAGAATTTCCTAGCCAAATTTGCTAGTTGTGACAAATAAAAATGGTTAAAGCATAATGA